GAACCTTTGTGTGAGAGTTTGCTGCTGCTTCAAGGTGTCTGAGGCTAGGGACTCTGCTCCAACGTGGCACAAAACACTGCTTTGGGGATCTAAAGTGTAGAGAGCTCTGGTTAGGAAGAGCCAAAGATGGGCTCTGCTTAAGCAAGAGTAACACATGAGCCTGCAACACTGTCCCTCTGCAAAGTCCCAGCAGTTTCAGAGCTGTTTGGTTTCCGTGGCAAGAAGCAGATAAAAATCCTTTAACTTCTATGTGGAAGGGAGCTTTATGAGGCAATGGTCTTTTGCCAGGCCTCTCCCTGGCGTCAGCACTGTCCTGAAACCAGGCCCAGAGCCTTTTGAAGGTGCTGTGCGAGGTGCCCAGGCACACAGAAACCTAGACAACACAGGTGCATGGGAACAGTGCTAATTCCAGCCAGCTTTCCCCTGTCCTTTGCCACACTACAGGTCTGCTTTTTTCAGCTCAGCTGAGGTTCTCTGTTGCTCCTGCCTGCTACTGGAGAGCCTGGAAAGGTGATGGCTGCAATAGACTTGCAGCCTCTCCAGGTGGGTGAGAGAAGTGCCCAGGTGGGTGTCTGAGTTGGGTGAGGTCACCCAGAAGAGAGACACTCAGCATTCCTATTTATGCTCTGAGCAGCTAATGGCAAGGAGAATTGGGAGGCTAAAGCAAAGGGATCAGCTGTGCATGGAGGAGAAATTGATAGCAAGGTTTGCTTGCTGTGGACTCCTTTGCTTTTGAAAAACAAATTGTCACTGCGTACAGGATACTGTGCAGCCCCACAAACGCTCCCAGCAGAAAGGAGGCTACAATGCAGTTTCAGCGCGAGACTCATCTTGCGATTAGCTCTGAGACCCTGCTGTGCTTGCAAGGAGTAGAGCTAGGGGTGCAGCAGGGAGGGAGCTAAACTCTCCGTAATCCTGGGCTGCTGAGGTGGTGATAGCATTAAGAGCCAATGTATGCTCCCAGCTGCCCGCAGTGCGCATAAGCCAGGATGTTTCTCTAACAATCCCTGGAGCCTTCCTAACGGTCTGTGTGCATTTGCTTCTCTGCAGAAGCAGATGAAATTCCTGGAGCAGCAGCAGGAGGATAACAGAAGTTCAAAGGAGGAGGCCCGCCGTCTGCGAAACAAGCTGAGAACCATGGAGCGGTGAGATCCTGGGCTCTCCCTGGGCCTTCCAGGCTGGACTGCATGCCTCACCCCTTCTCAGAGAGGGAGGGAGGGGTCGGTCCTGCTGTGCCTGCTGCAACATCCACCTCCGCATGCTGGGTCATCTTACCCCGTAAAGTTGGAAACTGCCACCTTAGCAGGCCTGCCCTTGCCTGTCTGTGCTCTTGCCCCTGCTATATTTCAGAGAGCTGCTGTCCCTAAACAGCAGCAAGGCATGGTACTGCATGCAGACTGGTTTCATCTCTAGTGCTCTCAGCATGGCTATGTGCTATTTCTGTTATCAGAGGACACTATGGCAGCATCGTGGAATCTCAGCCCAGGAACGCAGTCAGCCACAGGGCTATAGGGCCCAAGAGCTGGGACGTCAGCCCCACATGCAGTATGTGTGCACAGCTGTCCCTTCTCTACTCTGTCCATGTAGTGCTACTCTTCCCTAGCAAAAAGCCCTGCTTGTGGTGGGGGAGTTGTGTATCTTCCCCCCACAAGATCCGAGTGCCTGCAGCAGGAGCTTAGGCTGCACCAGCTCCTTGGGAGGAAGCAGGGCTCCAGTCCCTTTCCCAGCTCTGTTTGACTTGTGAGCTGAGGGTGCTCTCTATTTTGTGCAGGATTGAGCTGTTGCTTCAGAGCCAGCGCCCTGAAGTGGAGGAGATGATCAGAGAGATGGGAGTCGGGCAGGCAGCGGTGGAACAGCTTGCGATCTACTGTGTCTCGCTGAAAAAGTAGGTGCTGCGAGCTTGGCACAACCAGCTTGTGCTGTCCTGGGTGTGCCCGGGAAGAACCCTCTGCCACGTACCAGCAGGCATACAGGCTCTGTGGGGCTCTTGCCACCTATTTGGGCCTCCACTGGATTTTGACTGACAGATCCTGGGGACATAGATTGGAGCCTGTCACACTGAACTGTTCCCATTGTCACTGTAGTGACAACATGTGAGTCACCATGGGAACTGTCTCTGGAGTTGTCAGTGCACCTATGAGTTGATGATTATTATTCCCTCTGTTCTTCTGTCATGCCTGGGGGGAAATGAGTGGATGAGGGGCTCTGGGTTGTACCCTCTGCTGCATTGCACCGTGCAGCTGTGGCCTCAAGCGCTCTCTGGCAAGGTGAATCTACAGTACTGCCCTCCCCTACCTGGAAATCCATCTGGTCCTGCTGGGCAAAACCACAGCTTCTTTGGGGCCGTTCTGATGGCAGCTGAATAATTGCAGCTTTGATACAAAGCTGTAATGAGGCAAGTGTCCCTGTGGTGTAATTGGGAATGAATGTGCATGGCCAATAGTGTGAAGTCTCTGAAAAGTCACTTAAAGCCAAGTCCCCTATTTTCTGTCAGCGTGGAGGCTGCTCTGTTGTCTGTCTGTCTTTTCCACTGGCAACTGAAACATCTCTGGATCCGGTTTCCATTTTGCTGTTGAAATCTGTTCAGCCTGTGCTCTCAGGCATGGTATCCCATGCAGCTTTTTTCTCCCCTGTGGTGTAGTGGTATGTTTGACACACTGTTGGTCAGTGTTAGTACACAGCTCTGTTCCCTAAAGGGCTTTATCTCTCTTGTGTTTTCTCTGGTGGCTCTGCAGTTGCAGAGCTTCAAATTAAGGGTATTGGCTTGTCTCTGAGAAGTTCTGTCTCAGTCCTCTCGCAAACAGCATGTCTCTTCCGGTCTTTTTGCAGGGAATATGAAAACTTGAAGGAGGCTCGGAAGATCTCTAGTGAGATGACAGAGAAGCTGAAGAAGGAGCTGTTTTCTGTCAATAGCAAGGTAAAGGGAGAGTATGAGTTGCCAGGGTGACATCTGGTCTGTAGATAACTGTCAATAACTGTGGCCCAAGCCCTCTGCAGTCACCCCCTCCCACACTGAGCACTACTTGAGTGGTACAGGTGGTGTGGAAGGGTCAGGCTGGGGTTTCTGGGTCAGGGTGTGATGCTGCAGTGAGTGAGCAGCTCATGGGCTGTTGTCAGGAGTGCAGTCTCTGGGGATGCTGGTGGGGCAGCATGTGCAGAGCCAGAGGTTGGCAGGGAGCCTGGACTGGAAGGCAGCAGCACACAGGTGCTCCGCTGCTTCCACTGGGTTCTGGAAGCAGCACTTCCTTCATCCTGCCACACTGCCGAGCATGAGCTAGCTCAGCTGCCAGCTCCTCCTGCTGCAGAATCAGACCCCTAGGAAAGGTGGGAAGGGGTTTGGAGCCAGCACCAGTTGAGCAGGGCTTAGCCCTGGCTTGGCACAACCACAGTCAAACTCAGCCTTGTGCCTTCAGCTGACTGAACTGGGCCAGGGCTCCTGCATGATGCTGTACCCAAGCAGGAAAGGTTCCCAAAGTGCAGTGAGGACATGCAGGTGGTTCTGCACAGAGGCTGACTGTGCTGGTCCTAAGCTGGTGCAGAGCTTGGAGCTGCAGACATGCTTCTATTGCTGTGCTCCCCCTGTTCCAGGCTTGGCTGGGCTCTGTTAGCTCAGGTCGGGAATTGCTTTCTGTCAGTTCTCCTAGCAAGTCCCCATGAAAAGCATGTGTGTTTACCCTTGCTCTCCAAGGCCCAGGTGTTCCCTGGGGCATCTGCATGTCCAAGCTCACAAAGTGAGAGACTGTGGATGGATATGGTCTATTTTTGTTACTCAGCCATAGCTGTTGTGATCCCCTCAAATGGAGCAGGAGGTCCTCAGATTGCTGTGCTGCTCCCCAAGGGAGTTAAACCCCACTACATGAGGTGCTGCTGCTGGAATTGGGCTGCTTCTGGCTGAGTCAGTGCCAAGCTGCAATCACTGGCTTGGGTCAGCAGGATGCGAGTCAGTGCATTCAGGGCTCCGGGCTTGGCTGACAGAGAGATGACTGTACTGACACTTTGTGGGCTGGCCCAAACTCCTGAACCCACAAAAGTCTCTGATGTGGTAGCAGTCCACTTCTCGACCCCTGCTCCTGGCACGCTTCCCTGTTGAATCAGGCTTGTCTCTGTGCCAGTACTGCTGATGCACAACCATCCTCCAGCCTGTGGTTTGTAATTCCTGCGCTCTGGTGTGTCCAGAGTCCTGCAGGAAATCAGGATGCAGCCACCAAGTGTTAGATCAGGGAAAAGCTGTCACCATCAGGTATAAATGCTCGGGAAATGCTATCGGAAGGTTTGTGTTGGGCGAGCAGCCCTGGAGATCCCTCTGCAGGCAGCTTGAGGAAGTGGGTAGGCATTCTGTTGCTCTGATACAGGAGAGAGCGGTCAGACTGCCACAGAAAAACTGAGCCTTCAAACACGGGAAAGTAGCATGTGCTGCAGAGCACGCTGCTCTCGCAGGGGATCTGCAGTCTCCCTTACCTGTGTGTTGTAATGAGCACTCTGCTGTTTGGTGGGGGGTGGGGGGCATTTATTCTGCAGCTGCAGAAGACGGTTTCAGAGTTGGAGAAGACACGGGAGGAGTTAAAAAGCACCCAGAAGGATCTGAAGAATGCGGACAAGGAGATCTTGGTGAGAATATCATTCCTCAGTCTGCAGTAACTGGCAGCCGGCCATGGCCTGCAGCTGCAAAGCCAGGAGTTATGCTGGCTTTTGCTCAGTGACTAGGTTACCTGGCCCACCTTATCTCTCTTATTTGCTCCACCTGATGCTGATTTATAGAAAATGGGCAAAGTATCTGCTAGTAAATCTTTCCTTATCTTGCTGACTGCTATCTTTTTTTTCCTCCAGAGTTTGAAGAAGAAGATAGACATCCTGCAGGATACTCTGAAGGTCCCATCTGTAACCAGAGAGACACTGAGTCGACTTGTCTTTGAAAGGTTAGTGAAGTGCATCCTCAGATACAGGCGAAGGATGGAGATGGCAGGTCCAAAGTAAGAGTTGACAGCTTAACTAGCTGGGGAAGCGGAGATGTGCTAGTCTGGCTGGCATCACAGTAGCATGGTTGCTTTCCTCCTTGTATCCTATTTTGCTTTTTTGTCTCGTTGCTGACAAGGTGGTGTTTGGTTTACGTGGGAAAAGTGTGTGTTTTGGAGGGTTTGGGTTGGGATGGGATGGAAGAGCAGGCTAGGTTTTGACCAACTCTTTGTCACTATGTCCTGCGCGGGAAATATCCCTAAAGCTGCTATTCTGGTTGCTTCAGAGTTGACCTTCCAGTGAGCATGCCCTGATGTATGGGGACTGGAGATCTTAGCTAGGCAGAGGAACCTAGACTAAAAAATGGCATACCTTAGTCTTTTATCAAGCCCTTTCTTTTGAGGAGCCTGTGATATTACCCCAGTACAGCAAGCTGGGTTGTGTACACAGAGCAGCAGTGTGCCAGTGTGTTTCCCTGGGCTCCAGGTGCTGCTGTTATAGCACAGGCCATTTGAGGGTGAATGGTAGTTTGAGACAGACTATAAAATGTGGGATTTAGATTGTCTTTGACTTGTAAGCAGAATCGGGCTCTGATCTGGGTCCTGCTGCTGTCTTGCAACTCAATTGTGTAGCATGCAGCTCTGTCTTCCTCTCATCTGCTGGGTGGCAGGCAGTGGCCTCCCGATGGCTGATGCTTTGCATGGCCTTGCAGCCCTGTTTCTGTGGAACTGCGGCACCCGAAGCTCCACCGCCCGGCCCACAGCGATGAGATCAATCTAGATGCTACTTTTGATGTGGACACCCCTGAACATCAGCCCTGCAGATCTCTCTTCAGCCCTGCAAAAAGGCAGAAGCTGGATAAAAAGCCGTGAGTTTTTCTTTCCTCTTTCTGCTTCTAAAGGAGATCAAAGTCTTGCTTCTTTGGAAGTTGCTGTGTGAGATCAGATAGCTCTCCAGCTGCCTGATGTCGTGCTGCAAGTTTTGTCGTCATTTGCTTGGCCTTGTCTGTCCTTGCCAGCTCCACTTGAACAATAAATCTCTGCTGATTTGCTCCTTGGACTTCTTACAGGCCTCCTGTGGTAAATCTGGCAAAGAAAGTTCTGAAGGAAACAGTGGAGGTAAAAGGACTAATCTTGATTTTTCTGTATCACCTCTTTGATTCTGCTGTTAATAAGCTTGGGATAAAGGATCCATTTTCTCCATGTAGGAGACACTGTGACCATGTACTGTGGTTCTATAGATGGGCCAGTCTATGCTTCAAAGTGCTTTGCCTGACAGTCTCCTAGAAATGCTGAATTGCTGCCTCAGGCCTCCTGGAATTGGGCAGGAAAGGGAGGCTGGGGACTCACGTGCTTCTTGCTGATTATCCTGCCTCAGATGTGCTTGGCAAACGCAATGTGGGGCTGACCACAAGGGCTGTGGAGTCAGCTAAGGGGGCTGTTCCTTCAGCCTTGCTGGGTGTGATGTCCTGCATCCCCGGCGCTGTTCCACATGAGCCCCGGTGGGAGGTTTGAAGCTACTGTTCTTGGGCCTGACATGTGGTACAGCAGTAACTATTACCCTAAATAGCTGTCTGCATTATTAGTGCTCCCTGTACGTGGACTAAATTCAGCAGATCATGCTGGTTAAAGGGCTTTTCTCATTATTTTGTGGGACAGAACTGGGCAGATGATCTGGAGGATGATGCTCTTAAAGGACTCTTGCCAGCATTCATCAGGAACTCTGTTCTCTCCAAGAAACCATCTTCGGGTAGCTTGCTGGGTCCCCACAAGAACACAGGCACTGTAAGTACGACTGACCAGTTGGTGAGCATGTCAAGGGCTGGCACTGCACGCCTGTGTCCTGAAGTGACCCTGCGGGAGGAAGCGAATGAGGCTTTTACCTCGCCACATACAGTGTGTGGAAAATAAATCTTGGAGCACAACCTGGCTACTTCCCAGTCCTGCAGAGTTCCAGGGATGATAGATGCTCGTTGCCTTCCTGGCAGCAGACTAAATGGCCCTCCATGTCCCATTCCTCCACCTCCTTGGAGCTTTGGGTGTTTTCCTTGTATTCCTCAGTCCCAGTGACAAAATCCTAAGCCTTCCTGTTGGTTGGAAGGCTCAGCTTACTTCGAAAAGTGCCCAAGATACCCAAACTTTACCAATACCCTGGGGTCTGTCTTTTTCCAAAGGTGAGGGCTTAGCACAAGTACTGAGCGTTTCCAGGTGCTTGTAATCCCTCCCCAGAAGCTGTGGCCTGCAAGGCTTCCCCTTCCCCATAACCAACATGAGGAGAGGTAGCCAAGGCTCTGTGCTGCTGCTCCACACTCATTTCGTTCTCTCTTCTAGGTGAGAATGGGGTATGATGGCTTGGGAGGCAGAACAAAGTTCATACAGCCTGTATCCTTTCCTGAGCTCATATGGCAGTAGTGATGCTGTGGGGACCTCATCTCTGGTCCTCTTCTTTGGTCTCAGCCATCTTGGGGAGTCTGTCCCCCAGTCAACAAAAAATGGGCTCGGACCCTCAAGGAACCATCAGATTTTTGTCTGTCTGACTCTGAACAAGTCTGAGCTGAGCAAAGGCATCAAGGATCTGAACTTGCTGAAAGCGGTATCAGAGGTGGTTCGTTCAGAGGAGCATATCAACTAGAAATCAGTACAATTTGCCACGACCACCCCTGCCCCTGGCATCTCTGAGCAGCAGCGTAGCACAGGCTCTTCCTGGCTGCATGCCTGCCAGCCCGTGTAGCCAACAACTTCATTCCTGTGGGACGCTGCTGCTCTGCCCTGCCTGTCCTGGTGGGCAGCCCCACAGCAGGTGAGTAGCGGCTGGGCTGAGCTCACCCAGTGGGTGAGGAAGCTGCTCTGACTCCCATTCCTCCCCCGGGAGCGGTGTCCTCCCCCGTGCAGAGGCTGCCCCTCACCTCCCTTTCCCAGGCAGTACTGTCAGAGGGCAGTGTGGTGCAGCTATGGCTCTGACACTGCACTAGCTCCTGCTGCTGGTTTTGAGGGGATTTTTGCTCTCTGTAGAAAACCAGGAGGCTGAAGCAGAGAAGAAACAATCACCTGGAAGGTGTGACCTGCTGGGAAGCCTTCGGCTGCTGTTCCGGTGGCCTTATTGTGGCAGGGTGGAGGTACCCAGTGGCAGGGAGATGCTTGACCCAGGTCTCTGGGGCAAGATGTGCCCATGCTGCCAGCCCGGGGTGAATGGAGAAGGTGGGAAGCCATCCTAGTGCTGCCTGTCACGCATGGCTGATGGAGGAGAGCTCATTTCTCTAAACCTATGTGCTGCAGGTGTAACCCTGCAGTTCTGCTAGCATGGCCTGCACCTGCCTTTCAGTGCTGCAGCAAGTGGCTGGTCGAGACCTTTTACAGTTCAGTGATGTTTAGGTTCTGCCACTTCTGTGTCTCTGAACATTTATACATTGCCATGTGAGTCAAAGAGGACTTTCTGCTCCAAGGGCTCTTCCTTTGGGGTTGCTCTGCCTTGGGAGGCTGCAGGCTCTGGCTGCTGTGCCTTTCCCTGCACAGTGTCCTGCCTCTGATGTGCAGGGTAGGTCTTGAAGCTCGGATAGAAACACTTAACTGCTGTTTTGTGTGCAAGGGGGTGGCATAGAAGTAGGAAGCATTCCTTGAATCCTGGGACAGGGGCATGCCTGAGCTCTGCTGCTGTGAGTAGGGGACAAAACCCAGCCTTGTCCTGCAGGAAGGTGGGGTTTCTTTTTTGGGTGCAAATGTATGGCTAGGTCCCAGGTCTGTGGTTCAGGCTAGTCTGCAGCAGGTATTAGATCACTTGTGTCCCCGGAGCATTGGTCTGTACTTCCCTTGACAGTTTTACCTCCAGACAAACCTGGCAGAAATCCGTCCATTAGCAGTGAGGAGCAAGAAGAAGAATGTCTCCAGGCCAGCATCTGCAGCTCCCTCCACATCTTCTTCCAGCAGCAGCAGCCAAGCCAGACTGGACAGTTTCCTGCAGTGAGAGCCCCTGCCTTCCCGGGGAGCGGCTGGGCAGGGTGGCCGCAGGGCAGAGCGCACTTGCCCAGAGCCTGCCACGAAGCAATGTCCAACCGCTGCTGTGTGGGGGGCTGTGATTTGCAAAGCACAGATGCTGCATTGTGGGTGAGACAAGCTGCCCTGGAGAGAACTCTGGCCTTGCAGGAAGCCGACAAGAGACCAAGTCTCTGGCTAATGCTTGGGCTGATTTACCTCCCTCATTTTACCCCTCCTTCCTTCTATTTTTGTGCAGAATAAACAGGGTTTTCTCATCTTCTGGCCTACTCGGAGCTCTACTGCTGCTGTTGGGCTCTCTGACATCAAGTGGAACTGCACTTCTTGGATGCAGCCGCAAGCTAGAGGTGTGGGAAGTATTTGGGCTGTCAGTCTGGAGTGAGAGCAGGGAGAAGGGACCTGGACCAGCTCTATGCCTGGTGTAAATAGTTCCAAGAAAGTTTCCTGGAGGAAGAAGCGTGCAGAGGGCAGAGCAATGCCAGTCTGTGTTGCTGCAGGGTGGCTGTATATTCATCCTCAAATTAAACACCTCTCTGCCACAGGCAAGGGGAAGACCCCCAGGCGAGCCTGGGGGATGTTCTGCCTTGCCTTGGTTTGGGCCGTTGCAGACTTGGTATTGAAATTGCTGACCTGGGGAGGAGGGTGTTGGGGGTGACCCCCTGCACTGTTTGGAAACGGGGAGATCACTGTGCTGATATGACCTCTGTTCTTGGCATGTGTTGGTGAGAAACTTGTTTATGAATTTCTATTTTTTTAATGAGATTGTAGGGTTTTTCTTCTTTTGTAACTGGTGTGCCTAGTGATTTGAGGGTTTGGAATGGCCTGAAGAAGTGCTGAAGAATGGCTCCCTTCAGGGGAGGGTGAGACCGGTGGGGTTGAACCTGTCTGGGGTTCTTCAGCTTGGAGACACGGGACAGGAGATCCCCTCTTGCCCCACAGCTGCAGCTGGGCTGTTCAAGCTGCAAGGAACAGACTTGGTGAGGTACCTCGCTACAGTGCTCCGTACTGTACAAATCTGTGATGTTTCCTATTCCCAGCTGCTTCAGGCTGGAAGTCTCAGAACCTGGACTGGCTAAAAACACATCTTTAGGGAATAAAATATATGGCTGTGCACATTTGTTGACACAACTGACTTCTGAGAGTTTTCCTCCTTATTGCAGCTGAGGGTGGAGGGCTGAGCTCAGGTGCTGGGTGTGGGGTGCTGGATGCGCCTGACCATTCTGAAACCTTTGGTGCCGGCTCTGGAGAGACAGATCCCTTCTGCAGGGAAGGGCTGTGGTGGGGTGAAGCCCTGCTGCAAGTGATGCCGATCTCCAGGGTGGTGAACAAGGCAAATGCCTGCGAAACATGAGCTGTGTCTTGCCTACATCGCTTGGGGCTGACTGCTGAGTGACATGGGATGGGTAGGGAGTCTGGAGGAGCATGAGAAGAGGGTTCAAACAAGCTTGGGGGGAAAGGAGGGGGAACTTAATCAAGCAGAGTTTATTCTGGAGAAGAGAAGCCTGGGAAAAGGTCTGCAGTGAGCCTTTTACTGTGACCTTCTTGCATGGTACCCTTGTTCCTTCAAGGCAGGTATTCTGTGTGTGTATAAATAATTAAAAAAAAAAAGTGTCACACTTGCCTCAGATCTCTCTGGCCTGAAGCGAGTTCAGGGAGAGCCTTGTGAAGGTCTGGGTGCGTGGCTGCTGAGGGATGTGGGCTTCCATGTTGGGGTGCTGGAGAGCTGCTGATGTGTCTACCATCACAGACTGGGACCAGCTCTGCCTTTAGAGTAGGGATTGAGAAGGGCTTTGGGGCTGTCCTGCTCTAGCTCTGCTTTGGGGACCTGTCAGAGCCTGGGGAGAAGTATTTGTACCCGATCAAGCTCACCCTGTCCCCTGCTCACCTATGGGGGTCCAACCTGCCTGCCCAGCTCGGCCCCATGGCTGTGTAGCCCAGTGTCCCCTGTGTGAGCCGGAGCTGGCATCTGTTAGACTTCTGCTTTAATCTGATTTCTGTTTGAAAATAAACTCGGCCTGGGCCAAAAAGCTCTCCTGCTCTGCCTGCGGTGAGCAAAGGACCTTTGTTTTGGTGTCGCTTGGTGTTGGTTCTGCCCGCTGCATTGCTTGGGCCGTGTTTTCCTCCGTCTCCCACGACCTCCTGGGCTGGCATCACCGGCACTGCTTTCCTGGGCTTTGGCACCAAGGCACGTTTAAGCCAGGATCTGAGTGCCTTGGCTGGGCGGCCGGCTGCTGCTGCTGGCTTAACAAACCTCTCGTGAGTTTAAGGTGGATGCTTTGAGTCTCCCTGGGTTTGGGACACTCCCTCTCACCCAGGGAGGGGAGGGGAAAAAAAAAAAAGCTTAAAAAAAAAAAGTGTGGGTTTTTTTTTTCCTGTTCTGCCCATTTCATCCCTTCCTGCGCTCTCTGTCTTTCCAGGCACTGGCTGCTTTTGGAAGTTGTTTCTGGTGTGGTTTTGTTCTGCTTTATTGTGCTTGTGCATTGGAGACTTTTTCCCTCTTGCTCGGTGATGATTTCAGCTCCTCAAAAGCTGCCTTCCCCCTCCTCTTACACACCTT